TGATTTGAAGTGCAAGCATATTAAATCAATTATTATGATTCATATTTTTTTCTGAAATGTTGAGTTATTTGCAATGGGTGGCTTAGTGGTATAATATCCTGCATATCCATATATAGGTAGCACAAATGGTTTTTAAATCCAAGTCTCGAGATCGGGTTGTCGGTTATGGAGGAGGAGTAAAGCTCAAAGATATAACAAGGTCACAACCCAGTAGAGAAGAACTTCAAGCTGAACTGAATTCTGCTAAACAACAAAATCAGCTTATGGCAAATCGCATGGAAACAACACAAGAGGAAAACAATGAACTTAAGGGTCGTGTTGGTGCAATTCAAGAGGAAAACAGTGAACTTAAGGGTCGTGTTGGTTTTATGGAGTCTCGAATGGAAATGTTTCAAGATATGTTGGTCAAACAACTCAACGTTTCCATTCCCTCATAGAATATGAAGACACTGAATGCAAGGTATGATTTAAATGCAATAGTAATTAAAGACACTGAATGTGAAATATCATTTTGAGATTTATTTTTGTAGTTGAATAAACATTGTATTTCTCCTATGATACTAAAGTATTAATCATCCTATTTTAAAAATATCATTTTTTTATTTGACAGGTATTTGAAGATGACAAATTAATTACCAAGTGATCATAGAACTCCACAGAGCTTGACAAGTTATTAGATGGATTAGCTAGCTAGCTTAGTATTGAATCTTTCATTTTTTGTATCCATATATTTTAGAACTAGACTTGTAGATTTTTTTTTTTGTTTCTACATAGTTTCTACAGACGATTCATATTGTTTCTGCAAATGATATTTCTATTTAGGTACTATACTTGATTGTTTTTTCAATTGGTTGAATAAATAATAAGAAGTCCAGTAAATTCCACTAAGGAAGCTGTATTTAATCTGGTTCCATTCTGCAGGTTGTTTTATTACAAAATACTTTGTAAACAATGAAAACTTCTACCAATGACTATATATAGCACGTATAATTATTATTTAAAAAACTTCAAAGTTGGGGTTGTTATGGCAAACAATGTAAAGTTGTTATTGGGTATATGTCGTTATAAATAAATAACGACAATTATGTATGCCATTGTTATAATGAGACGATGAAAAACTATGTTCTCGTAATTATGCAACGACAAACAAGTATATTGTCGCTAATATGTAACGATGACATTTTATTTCATCGTTATTATTAACGATGAACTTGGTCGTTAAAACCAATAACGAGGGAGGCTATTACAACAACTTGACGACCAAAAAAAAGTCGTCGTTAAAGGTTTTAACGACAAATTTTAGAGCCTATAACAAGAATATTTTTCATTGTTGAAAAGGGCTTTTCTAGTAGTGATAAGCCCTGGATGGCTAGATATGCACCTTGGTGTAACGCTCGCCAAACGAGTAAGCTAAGTATCAACTATCACCGAATCGAGGCAAATTCGATGTGCTCCGCCTCTTATGGTATCGTCATAGGGATACCTAGAGTAGCATTCTTTGGGTTTGGCCTCACTGGAATGACTCAGCCCGGAGCGAACGGGCCCGCCAGCACGGAGCTAGGCTGGTGATGAGATCATGGCCTCGACGCAGGGCCTCAGTTTGGCCGATACATGATGTCGACTGCTCTTCTCGTCCTTCTGATCTGGGCCCTACGCCCCTACGGTATAGGACAATATACACCATTAATTAATTTAGATGCTCCTTTCCTTGCCATTTAAAGAAGGTTCTTTCTTCATCTTTTCAAATTTCTTTTATAGAAAGTATATCGAAAATGACAAAGGAGGATGCTAAAGTTGGACAACCACAAATTTCCCTAATTACTTTTCCTTCTTACTATGATTACATTGTTTATTATTATTATTTTGTGTATATTTACTCTTTACTTCTATAATAAAAAGTTAATGAAAGAGGTACAATAAAAGTGTAAATTAGACTTCTGATTTGAAACACAAAATAAAAAGTTTATGAAAAAAACCTAAAACCTCATTTTTTTATCTTTTATACAATAAGAAGTGAAAAGCTAAAAAAAATCGACTATTGAAAACACTTTTTTTGACAATTCTTTCTAACTTATTATAGTATTTGTTCTATGTTAAGGCCAACATTTTTGAACTGGGATGATATTCGAACTTGTAACCTTCTTTTTTAGAGTGTCACAGTGATACCATCAGACCACAAGGTACTTGACGACTATTAAAAACACTTAGAAAGTCATAGAATGATTTCATAATGTTTTTTAAAAGTAGAAATTCAAAAGGCCCAAAGGAAGGGTAATAGATTGTTAACTTTGACCAATTTCATGAATAAAAATCAACTACTCCGTAAAATAAATTAATTTTTTAAAAACATCCTTAAAAATTCCATAACTTTCGGACTCATGAACATGATCATTGACTAGAGAGGGGCTATCATTGCTGAATGTGGAAATCTCTGGTCCCGTGTTATTTTGTCTAAATGATGTGATATGATATTATGATCTGATTTAAATTGAAATACAATCTTAATTCCATAAGTGTAATAAAATTTTAATACTACGTAGTGGTTAAGGAACACGGAATATCAAATAATCTCAAATACTTCTTAATTTATTTCAACATTATTTATTCGCCTAAATCTTTCAAATGAGTTTAATACTTCGTATAACTTTAATATTTTCTAGTACTTAAGATTACAAGAATACTAGTCCACCTTTGTAGGATCACCCTAAATTGGACGACAACTACTAAAATAAACAGATTTTTTAAGGACACATGATTTTTTTTAAATAATCTCACACATTCTAAATTACATCATTCATCATCCAAAACAATAAGATCTTTTGTGGGTCCTGCACTCACTAATTAATACTACTTTCACAATAATCTTGAGATAATCTGGATTCATATTTCAATCCTGAATTATTTTGTCAAATAATCTCAATCATCTAACGCAAATTATATGGTGCAACCGGCGCACCATGAGGATGGTGCGCCCGGTTGCAAAAACGACGCAGCTTATCTATTTTTTTTTTTTTTTGCTTTTGATGTTAAAAATGATAATAACTTTTTTATTTTTGATCCGATTTTTATAAAATTTATATCAACATTTTTTATTTTTCATGATCTTTCAAATGAGACCAATATTGTGTATGTAATTTTAAGAAATTATCGAACTATTATATTAATGAGTATTGGATTATAAGAAAAATCGAATCTGTTTGGGAGATGATAGGTTTGTGAAATAGAAGATCGAATCTGTTTGGGAGTGGATCAGTGGCCTCAGTTACATTTGATAATACATTGAGTTACATCTTTTTATGAGCGAGTTACATCTTTTTATGAGCGAGTTACATCTTTTTATAAGCAAGTTACATCTTTTTATAAGCGAGTTACATCTTTTTATAAGCAAGTTACATATATATATACACACGAGTTGCATTTGACATGTCTGAACGCGACTTACATATATTTACACGTAAAGTTACATATTTTTACACGTAAAGTTGCATATTTATACACGCGAGTTACATATTTATACACACGAGTTGCATGTGACCTGTCTAAATGCGAGTTACATATTTTTTTACGTAAAGTTACATATTGTTACACGTAGAGATACATATTTATACACACGAGTTGCATTTGACTTGACTGAACGTGAGTTACATATTTTAACACTTAAAGTTACATATTTTACACACAAATGTTAATATGTTAAAATTACATAGGCAATATTGGTCTCATTTGAAAGATCATGAAAAATAAAAAATGTTGATATAAATTTTATAAAAATCGGATCAAAAATAAAAAAGTTATAACCATTTTTTAAAAAAAGGAAAAAAAAAATATAAAACCGTCCCGGTATACGGTGCTCACCATACGGGTTGCACGGTATACGCACTCATCATCTAACCATAATCCCAAAAATAATCGAGCGCATCACCAACTTAATATACTCGTATGTTCTCAGTATTTTAGTACAAACTTTTTACAATAAAAACAAAATAAATAAGAGAGTAAACCGACTCATTGACAACGAAATAGGCAACAATATGCCTATAGTTACTGAATCAGCACCTCTATGTGAGAAAGCCCTACGCTTCAAAAAGTGCCGTTTTATTATTATGAAACGCGAAGCTTTTATTTTTGATTTGTTGAAAAGTTAAAGAAGATATATAGAGATTAGTGTTGATAAAGCTTCGTAATATGACTTATATTCATTTATATACATATATAGAAGGGCGGAGGTAAGGGCTAGGTATGTAAACCGTTTTAGTATTTTAAAACCGTTTGAAAACCGTTTGTATTTTATAGGCATGTAAAAAAACTGTCCCGTAGAGGCTTCCCCGCCCCGAGATATGGGTTCGGGTATTAGTATTGATTCATGCCGTCCCGGCCCGCTCAATATGTAAATCAATATATATTTTTTTAAATTATACTACAAATACACATATGTGTATATATGGTGAGTAGTAATGAGTGAATTCCTTGATCTTTTAATAAATTAATATTTATATTTTGAACTAGATAAAAGGTTAATTGTCAATGTGTTTTTTATATTTAGCATTTATATATTCATTTATTCATAAATAAATAGTTAACTATTTGAGTCTTATTTTTTCTTAACTTTTGAAACTTTTATTGTATTGTGACTTTGATTTATTATATTTGTTTTTTATAATTATTTGGAGATAAACTGTATGTACAATTCAAGCTATAATGACTTCACAAAACAAGAAATGTTTACTAGCTATTAGATTATTGTGGGGCGGGGCGGGGCGGGTCATGGACCAACATCTAATGACCGGTGCAGGTCACGGGGCGGGTCCACCTAGTTATGTCACGGGGCGGGTCCAGGTCCTACACTAGCCGGCCCACCCCGACCCATTATCATGCCTAGTATTTTACGTGTAAAAAATGTATTTATAAAAATTTATCTCATGTTGTACTAGCCCAGCTCAAGTTATGCTTCTGCCTACACCGTTGCATATATATATAGAAGATAAATGCGAGAAAACAGATGACAGAAATATGATACTCAGTTTGTTATATCTTCTCAATCAGTACACTTCTATATAAGCAAACCTATGTTGTATATGAGATTACAAGTAAATGAGATTAAGAAAAAGAGAAACAAGGCATGAACGATATCCATAAATATGAGTCATCATTTTGATTTAATCTTAAAAATAGCACTCATGACTCATTGAGAAAAGAATCAAAGTAATAACATTCTGCTGCATGAGTCCACGAGTTCCGTTTTTATGAAAAATCAATGATGATCGCATTTGAAGAAATATATTCCTAGTACGTCCAAAAGGTTGAATCCCCAACCCCAAGGCCCCCCACCCCGACCCGACAGGATGGTGGGGGAGTAAATCACGGTGACTCAGTCGGCAAAGCGGCAGTAGGCCTTTACCCGTGCGCACCAGAGGGCCAGCCTTATTTCAGGTTCTGAAAACCCCCTTTTGGGCGCTGCGGGATTCGAACCTCGGTCTACGTCCAATTTTTCCCACCGCTCGACCAACTTAGCTACCCGTGCGGGTAAATATATTCCTAGTATGTTTTACTTCTATATGCTGAATTTTCCCAAACAAAAAAAGACCAATTAACATTTTCATCTGCTGGCTTTCCCGGGATCAATTGCTGCTTCAAGCCATAAAACAACTTGATCAATGGCGGGTCTCTGCCTCGGTTCCCGGTCTACACATTTATAGGCTATACCCAACACCTCCATGAATTGCTTCTTACATTCTACATCCCATATAGAAGGATCAAATATTTCCTCTTCCCGGTTCTCAGATTTCATCTGAAACACCCATGACACCAAGTCTCTGCAATTCTTTCCTTTGCCCACTTCCACAGGTCGCTTACCAGTTACAAGCTCCAAGAGAACAACGCCATAGCTATAAACGTCCCCCCTAAAAGTTGCTATCAATGCCTGACTATATTCAGGAGGAATGTAGCCCAGCGTTCCAACTAGATCCGTCGTGACATGTGTATCATAGGGACATAGTAACCTTGCAAGCCCGAAATCAGCTAAATGGGCTTCGAATCTCTCATCGAGAAGAATGTTGCTGCTTTTAATATCGCGGTGAACTATGTTTGGTTCGTTATGGAGATAGGATAATCCCCTAGCAGCACCTAGTGCTATCTTTAGCCTTGTGTTCCATGATAAGCATAGATTATCGCTATCCAGCCTTTCGTGTAGCCAATAATCGAGACTTCCGTTTTCCATGTAAGAGTATATTAGTAGCCTATCGTTCCCATGGCTGCAATACCCATGGAGAGAGACGAGGTTTTCATGCTGAGCTGTCGAGAGGGCTTCCACTTCTGCATGGAATTCACGTTCCAGCTGATATCCATCCCCGGAAAGCTTCTTGATTGCTACTTTAGTCCCGTTAGGCAAGTCAACTTTGTAGACGACACCGAACCCTCCACAGCCAATAATGTTCGATTCGCTGAAGTCGTTTGTAGATCTCAGTAATTCTGCCACTGTCATATCCTTGCAATTTGAGTTCTTGAAAAGGACCAGCTTGGACGGGTTAAATGAATCAGAGAATCTGGTAGATATGCCCACCTCTTCCTCTGAGTCTTGCGTTTGGTCATTGATATATCTTCTAGACGCTCTTAGGATCACATACGAAACAAGCATTGAAACTCCGATCGTTACGCCGACTGTGATTCCAATAACACCCTTTCTACCCAACATGTTATTGGAAGAAGGGGTGATGGTAGGTCCAAGGCCTCCACCATCACAGGGAGAAACAATCTTTCCACAAAGCCCAGGGTTTCCCCCAAAGCTTGAGCTGGGAAAGCTAAAAAACTGGCCTCCGGTCGGGATCTCACCCTGCAAGCGATTGTTAGCCACATTGAACTTTGAGAGGAAGGTAAGCTTATCTAATGAAAGTGGGATAGATCCATAGAGTTCATTGTTAGATAAATCCAGAACCTCAAGATTCAACATATTTGATATGGTGCCAGGAATAGTCCCAGTTATGTTGTTCCGGCTTAAATCCAAAACATGGAGATATCTCAACTGTCCAATCTCGGGCAAGATTGTCCCACTTAATCTGTTATTGCTCAAATATATAGCTGGAGGAAAGCTGGTTGCTTGGTTGTACTGCAAACCATTGCTTGTCTGATTTCGCTTTATAAACAATGGAATGCCAGTTGATGTATTCAGACTGAATGGATCACTAGTAGGGGAAGAGAGGCTCTTTAGCTCCGTCAAACTTTTAGGGATTTCACCAGTGAGTGAATTATTCGAAAAGTCAACATAAAACAAATTTTCCATTTTCCCAATCCAAGAAGGAATGGTGCCATCCAACTTATTCCAAGATAAGTCAAGAATTTGCAATTTTGTACAGTTAGATATCCACATAGGGATTTGACCGCGAAGGTGGCAATTCCCTATAGCAAAAGCAGCCAGCTTCACAAATCCAGTCACATTCTTGGGAAGTTCTTCACCTTGGAAGTTTCTGGTGAGAATAAGGGTGGAAAGGTTATGGCAATGCTGAAGAACAGACAAAGACCCTGACAGATTTTCCATACTGTTATTTGAAACTGAGAAAAAGACAAGAGATGAGAGGTTTGCGTAACTCTCTGGGACTGAACTGCTAAACCTGTTCTTGGCAAGACTCAAAATTTTCAACTGTTTACAACTTGAGAGAGATTCAGGAAGGGGACCAGACAGATGGTTCGTTCCAAGAACAAGACTGGTGAGATTGGGCAGTCCAGTGAAATCAAGATCAATAGGGCCAGACAAAGAATTGTTCCTAAGAATGATATCTTTTAGGGTAGAGCAGAGTGCTAGAGTGGATGGAAATGGCCCTATAAACTTATTTGAACTAATATCCAATAACTCTAGTTGTGTCAAATTCCCAAACACATCAGGTATAACACCAGACAATTGGTTGTCATATAAAACTAAAGATTTGAGATTTGACAGCTTACTGAGGTTCTGACTTAACTGGCCAGTGAGATTATTGGAAGAGAGCGAAAGATGCTCAAATGAGGACACTAAGTACAAAGACTCTGGAATTTGCCCAGAGAAAAGATTTGAGTCCAAATGCATCTCCTGGAGGGGCAAACTGCACTTATTTAAACCATCAAGCCCCCCGGATAAAAGGTTTGTTGAGAAATCCAAGACTTTAAGATTGTATGAAATGCTGCAAAAATCGGTTAATTCTCCGGTGAATAAATTGTTGGATATGTTGACTGTGTGGAGTGATTCCAGCCCATTGAGTGCCTCCACAATTGACCCATTAAAGGAGTTGTAGCTCACGTCAAGAAATTTTAGCTGCTTCAGTTTAGAGAAATCCAAGGGAATCTCACCTTTAAGAGCATTATGTGAAAGATCAAGCAACTGTAAATTATCCAAATTTTCCAAGGCAGGAGAAATTGACCCTTGTAACCCTTTCCTGGATAAATTCAACTTGATCACCCTCCTGCTATCATCATCACCTTGACAGGCAACACCATCCCATTTGCAGCAATTAGATTCGCCGGCAGACCATGTTGAGAAAATGGACCCTTTGGTCAAGTTTCCTGCAAATTGCTTCAGGGCATTTAAATCAGATGGATGGTAATCCTGGTGTTCTGGAGTTTGAAGCCCCAAATATGATTTAAAGAGGCAAACCAGAATCACCCAGTTTAAGAGACTCATTTGGGTGTATGGCAGACTTAGAGATTCAGGCAAACTTCATCTTAAAATGAAGAAACATCCCAACCCTATTTCATCCAAGAAACACACCCGCAAAGAATCACATCAAGTATAAGACCACCCTATTTCAGATCCCTAGATTAGAAATCAAGAACACTCAAAGTTTTCAAGAAAAGCCACCAAGAGTCAACTTTTAATTCGAGCATGTCCCAGCACACCGCAGAACTGAGAAACCCCAAGCCCAATACCATAGAGATAAAAGAAACCAAAGGCCGACGCCGGCCAGCAGAGGTCAGGGAAAAGAAAAGCAGCCTTCTTTAAGGAAAAAGTTTAACTCTTAATACCAACTCACTTGAAAGTCAAACGACCAAAAGGTCCAATCGTGATTGATTCTTCAGAACACACTCATTTCATAATGCAGAAAGACAGGGTTTTGGCTCTCATTCTTTATTATAGCTGAGAAAAGGGATTGAGATTTCGAATAAGAAGAAATACAGTTAGGAGTTGAAGGATAACGAAGCAGAGAAGCATCGCCTTCAATTGCTGCAAAGACAAAGAAAATGGAAGGCCAGTGATCCTTAAATTTAATTTGTTGAAAATCTGACACATATCTGAACGGAACATAAATTGTTGACTTGTTTTATTTGTATCCTGATCATCATCGTTTGTTATTCTACTCTCATAAATCCTGCAAAAAGTCAACCTTCATAAGGAGTATTCCCAAATTTAAATCAAGTGGGAATTGGAAAGACTTTAAATAAATGAAGTAGGTGAGCCGTGGAGATGCTAGAGCGTACTAATACTGAAAATAGAAATTGGCCAGCAGGAGGTCAGTTGGTCACATGTGAAATTTGGAACAATTGAGAATAGAAATTTGGAACAACTGAAATCTTGATTTAAAAGTTTGAATTAACTAAATGTGTTTGATAAAAAGTAATAAAATAAAAATAATAATACTACGTACAAAACAAAATAAAAACAATCATTTTCAATACATTCCACCAAAAACTGTGTTCGTTCTTTAGATTAATTATCAATTCAGGACCCAAAAGATAGATTAATTATCAATTCAGGACTCGAAAGCTGAAACGTATCAGTATAGGACCCGAATGATGAAAAACTATCAATTTAGGACCTAACGTTTCATAGGTCTTGATTTATTTAATTTTTTATTAATTCCATTACTAATTTTTGATAAACTTTTCTTCACAAAAGTTTATTAGTTTAATAAAATAAAATAATATTTAAAAAATTTTAATAAAAAAAATTATGACAACTTAGGTCCTAGATTAATAGTTTTCAATCATCCAGGTCCTAAATTGATAGTTTTTCATCATTCGGGTCCTATATCGATGCATTTTATCTTTCAGGTCCCGAATTGATAATTAGTCTATCTTTCGGGTCCTGAATTGATAAAATTCCTTTTAATTATTACTATGTATTATACAACTTTGCCCATGGAAGTAAAAGATGAATTTGTATACCAAACATTCGGCTGTCGGTGAGCACCGTACAGTCGACTCAAGTTTTACATCAACAACTGAATTATGCACAGGCTCATGTGTCTAAAAGCTTAATGCTTTAAATTACCCGGTAAAATTGAACCACTAGAACCAATCATTTGTAAAACGAAAAGTAACTTCCCCCTGAACTGTTGGAACAAATCAATTGTACTGTTGTTCGCAACCGACGGAACTGTTGGTAAACCAAATGTATTAGCCGTATTTTTGCATGAAAAACGAGAGAAGTCAGCAAATCAACATTAATGGTGAAATGTAAATCACCATTGTACGAGTAAGAGAAAGAACAACAATTGGTAAAACAAAGCAAGAAGTTTGAATTCTGAAGTGTTAGAGTTTGAGTACTAAGAACAAAGAGCGGTATGGACATAGTAGCCGAATGAAACATGATTTCAAATGCAGATGAAGAAAATGAAAGTGATGAAGCATGTGAGACGTATGTAATACTATACATTTGTATTTTATATTTTTTCTGATAATGTGAATATGGTTGCGTGCGCTTGAAATTCGGGAAAAAACTTAAACCGTTTCAAGATAAGGAATTTCATGTGTACAGGACTCAAATCGAGTATTAGGCTCATTATGTGCTTGTTAGGATTCATATTATGCGCAAAGAATATGGTTATATATACTCCCTCCGATCCTAAATAAAGATCATTGTTTGACTTCAAACAAATTAAAGAAATAAATTTGACTTTACTGTAGAGTACAATTATAACACTGTTTGGTACTATTTTGGACCGTCCCAAAAAGGAAAGAAGAAGAAGTGTGAACTTTATTTTAGACCATCCCAAAAAGGAAAGTGTGAACTTTACTTATGACGGAAGAGATTACGATATTCCAAAAGCAACGCTCTTTACGGAAAAGTGTCATTTCTTAATACCACCTCACTTGAAAGTGAAAAGGGGAAAAGAATCATTATGAATTTATGATTGATTCTTCAGAACACACTCATTTTATATGCAGAATTATAGGGGGATAACAAAATGAAGAAAGTGAGGGACAGTGGGAAAACAAGGTTTTGGGTCTCATTCGTTATAGCTGAGAGGAGGAGATTGAGATTTCACGGGGCCGATCCCGGCGGTTCCAAGGCCTAGGAGCGAGTGCTCTCTAATAGGCCTAATTTTTTTAAAAATATTGTACTATATCTCATTCAAATTCGCGTTGAATTGTGTAATAATAAGAAAAAGTAAGGTCGAAATTACTTTTCTGACTGTATTGGTTGAAGTTACTGAAGATAACCATTTTAGCTATTTTTCATATAATTTTTTCTTTATTTTATTAATAAAATTTTTTTAAAATATTTTTTCATAAATCAGCAGAATCAGCCAATATAGTCATTTCAGCCAGAACTTCATAAATTTTAGCAGATTCAGTCGAATCGACTGATTTCATTGTTACCAAACAGGCTCTTAGCCTGCATATAAAAAATTATAAGTATTCAACGTTTCAATCAAACTCAGAAATAAAAATTCCAAAATTGTAAAAATTTCTAAGTTTTATTCGTTCAAAAAAGTAATTATTACAATCAAATAATCAATTTTAAAGTTTACACACTATACAAACACGAAGATGCTCTTCTTTTAACTGAAAGAAAATTTTGCCAAATGTCAATAGAAGAGAGCAATGTTAATCCACATAACATACAAATCAATAGAAAGGCATACAAGACTCCCAATGCATAATGTTAAAAACTTGAAGTTATCCCCCTTACTTGTTGATGGAGTATATGGCCCGGGAACCCCCGGCCCACAGACTCATACTACTCCAGCAAAGGCCCAACAGGCCCAAATCACAGCGCCCAGGGTACCAAGCAGCCCGCACTACGCGCCAGGGGTGCCTTCGGCCCCCCGGCCGAAGGCCCTAAATTCTCACAGAACGGGTTTCTCAAGCAAATTAAGAAACTGGGAGAAAACGGCGAAAACAGTAGCCCTCGGCACTATGAGCCCTCGGCACCAGGGTGCCATCGGGTGGAAGAGCCCTCGGCTACTGCTCTATAGCCGAAGGCATCTCACTCGACAAGATATCCGCCTCACATGCGTACAGATCACCGTACCCCGCACAGACGTCCCATCCAACAGCCGCATTAAATGCGGCCACATGCGGCTGACAGCGCCAACCAGTTGAGGTGACCCCTCGGCCAATGAGCGCTTGACACGTGTCCCTGCCCGGCATTTATTGCTACTATAAATAGCACCCCTTTTCCCCATTTGTAACCAAGTCATAACACGCTGAAAACGGCATTCATACTGAATACACTCTCTCTCTACTTTTATTCACTTACTCTGACTTCTCTCTAAATTACTCCCCGTAATAACCCTTCGGATATATACCCCCGGGTAGACTATCCATCATTTGGTGCTCTCGTTGAGAGGTTGAACAATCGAGTAAGAAACCCTCCCCCTCGACCAAACACAAAACACTAGCCCTCTATCAAAATGGTGAGGACAACACGTGCCAACTCAAAAAACGTAGAAGACAAGAACCTGGCCCTCGGCGACGTCAACGCCCCCGAAGCCTCTCACAGGGCTCCCGAGGGCGGTGTCATCGCTGGGCTGGAACAGGCGGCTGTCGACCTACGCCTTCAGATCCAACAAAATGCCCCCGATGCCCGCCTCGGCATCGAGGCCAAGAAGAAAAACCGGAGCGATGACCAAGTCAGCCCTCCGGTTCTCACCATCGACGTGCAATCGCCGCTCTCCGCCTTCATCCAGACGCTCACCCAGAACACGGGTGCCTTCGGCACCCTGGCTCCAGCTCACCCTCAGATCGGGGAAAATATCATACTTCCCCCTCTACCACACCCCTTCGGAAATCCCACCCCTCGGGTGAGAAACGAAGAAGGGGTGGTGGCCCAAAATACGTCCTCCCAGGAAGTTCAGTCCCGGGACCACCATAATGACAACAGGGAAAGGACCCGTACTTCCGCCCTCAACCGGCTCGGAGGAGGGCCAGACCGCCGAGGGGTCCAAGACCGCCTCGGTGGGAAAGCACTCCAAAGGCCCCAGGAAAGTGGGGGATCTGTTTCGAGGGCAGACGAGGAGCGTCCCCCTCGGGACAAAGGCAAGGCACCCCTTCATGCCGATGATGCTCGCCACCAGATCAACCAGGCCCACTCGGCCCGGGTTCGTTCGCAGGGGGCGGAGACCCTCCCGAAGGATCCCCGGGACGAGATTATTGCGGCCCTCCAGCGCCGGCTCGACGAAATGGAGTCCAACAAAGCTCACGCCACCACCTCCACCCCTCATTCAGATCTCAAATACGAGGCCATGATGGCCAAAATGGAGGAGTTGCAGAAGAAGGTGGCCGAGGGCTCCGGGGAACCCGTCATCCAGCTCCGGACTCGGACGCCATTTACCCCAAGGGTATTGGCGGCCCGGATCCCGGAAAAATACCGAGGGCAACACATACAGCCCTACAGCGGAAAAACGGACCCCCAGGAACACTACAGCAAGTACCAGAACAGCATGATGATGGTGGGGGCGTCAGACGAATATTTGTGTCGATGGTTCCTCTCCACCTTAGAGGGGCCGGCATACGAATGGTTCAACAGACTGCCCGAGGGCTGTATTGATTCATGGCAAGAACTCGCCCAGCGGTTCTTGACACAATTTGCCGGGAGGCGTCGCACAAGGAAGCACTTCTCCCACCTCCTAACAATACGCCAGAAGAAGGATGAGACCCTTCGGGATTTCCTGGAGCGCTGGAGGACGGAGTCCGACAAGGTCGACGGTGCTGATGACGGGACCCTCCTGGCCCTCCTACAAACCGTCCTCCGCACCGATAACTTTTCAAGGAGCCTCATCATTGAACCCCCCGCAACTACATAAGGGCTTTGCAGCGGGGGGACCGATATGCTTAGGCCGAGGAGGTGGAGAAGTATCACCAGCATCCGGACCAGCAGCCCCCGAGGGCTGACAACAAGCATAACCGAGGGCCGGGGGCTCCTCCAAATCACCCCAAGGCTTCGGGACCCTCTGATGACCGCCCTCGGCAAGGCCAAGCCAAGCCCGGGGGAGGCTATAAGAGCAACCCTAAGACTTGGGATCAGCCCATTCTCCTGGACCGCCCTCGGACGCCATTGACGCACCCCGTCAGCATCATCCTCGATTTTGCCGAGGAGAGGGGCCTCGTTGAGCGCGACTCTCGCGCGCCCCCGGAGGTGCAT